CTTGACTTATCGCATAGTAATAAATTATTAATATCAAAAATGTATTTCTGTTTTTTCTTTTTACATATTTTGTTAAAAGGCCAAATAAAGAAACCAAACCAAAAAAAAGTAATTTTCTGTTTTGTTTTATTCTTGGATCGGGCTTTAAAGGGTTAAGGCCAAAATCAATTATTCTAATTAGAAGTTTAATGGAAGAAAAAATGATGGTGGGCCCAATTTTAAAGCAACAAAGTTGCAGCAAAATTTCAGCATTGAGGTGATTGTGTCATAAAAAAGCAGTTCTGACCCTGCCTAATCCATGAAGTACTGTAACTTCTACTATGCTGACATTTCTAGTCTGTTTTTGTGCAATATTTTAGTGTTTTAGAAACTATACTTATAGTGTAGCACAAACCTACACTCCAATTAAATAAAATGTATCACACTATGTGAAATGAATTCAATTTAAAGTGTAGAGTAATATATATTTGGAGGTTGTTGTGGCCCAGCTTTGATGACACAAAAAAAAGAAACCCACAAAGGATACAGATGCACCATGGGCTACGTAATTTACGCAAGCAAAAAAAAAAAAATGTTCCAGATAAACTCCTTTAGTTTTCTCAGTTTATTTTCTTCACAGGCAAGCAAACAGAAAAAGACAAACATTTACTCCATGTTTCTCTTGTGCTGTTAAAAAAAACATACGCCCACCCAGATGCATGCTGGTCCTACCATTGACTGCCTATATATTAAAATAATTCACTCAAATTAATCATAACTAACCAAAAACAAAGGAATATGACTACAAAAAAACAACATAATGTCATAACAGATATCAAACAATAAAGTAAAATAAACTTAGCTGGATTATCCACAAAAACAAAAAACTTTGTTAATTATTAACAAAAAATAATTGGCTCCTACAGAGGTGTAATGCTATATTTTTATTTTGTTTGTGGGGTGGTACGTAACATGCTTGGCTACTTTCTAGACTTAATGGAAAGACTGCTATTTTTGCAAAATGCAGAGGTGTCAAGTAACAAAGTACAAATACTTTGTTGCTGTACTTAAGTACACTTTTTAGGTATCTATACTTTACTCAATTACTTTTTTTCTCCCTAATTTTGACTTCTACTTAATACATTTTTCACACAAGTATCTGTACTTTCAATTCCTTAAATTTTTAAAACAAACGTTACTCATTACTCTTGGCTTTGGTTTAACGTTTATAAATATTTATTTCACGTCATGTGCGCCATCCAATGCAGATCATTGGCGCCATCCACATCTAGTGAAAACTAGTGTAACAGGATGAGTCAAATAATGCAAACACTCATTGGTTAGCTAAAGCAGATCATCAGAAGCAAGCAGGTTTTTTCAAACTGCAAACGCGAATTGTCTATGCCATGCTACAACATCGGATTCAGAAAAAGATGTTGAAATGTCTGAAAGGTCAGACACAGGAAAGAGCATATCAGGAGATGGAGACAGAAACCAACAAGACCTCCCTCATCCTTGGCCCTATCTCAAAGACTTTTCAAAAAGGCCGAAAAATTGAGCTTTCCATTCATGGGCAGTTCTAGACAGGGGCCAATGGGGACCAGTGCTCCCGTAGATCATCCCTGTTATGGCCCCTGTAATGAAGACATAATACTCAAAGAAGAACTAATGATAATATGCGCTGGAATAGACATGGTTACTGCAAGGTACTTTGGATTTATTTAATTTTTTTCTTTTCAAATTGTGTTTTACTAATTATTTAAAAATAATAAGGTGAAAGCTTCAGTGAGATAGGATCCCAGTTTTCATCTGATAAATGTTTTGCCAAAACAAATTAAGAAAAAATACTCTGAATGCTGAATTTATCAGTTTTTCTCGAGTTCTAATTCTGATTTTATGGAAAAAGGTTATTTTAATTTAAATTAAGTGAAAAATATGCAACATTCCTAAATTCTGAGTGTATAATGACCTAATAAGACATATCATTTTAATTAAACCCAATTGAATAGAAATTTCACTTCATGCAGCTATCTTAATATATTTGAATCCCTTGCCCTGTTTTTATTTTATGCTTTTCTGTTCCCACACGAAAACAAGCTGGCCCCCCCTGGTCCCCTGGTACTTTTTGGTCTAGAACCGCCACTGTTTCAATTCATATAGTGGCAGCTGGTTGTTTTTTTTTTTTTAAAGGTTACTTTATACTTTTATACTTAGTAGTTTTTGGAGCACATACTTTTTAACTTTTACTTGAGTAAAGAGGTCAAGTTGATACTTCAACTTTAACCAGAGCGTTTTTAAACTGCAGTATCTATAATTACTTATGCTTAAGTAATAAATGTGTGTACTTTTGACACCACTTGCAATAATCACAAAGAGCTTTTATTGTTTTAGGCGCAAGGAGGCAGGATGACAATGCGCATGCGCATCAAAAAGGATCCCAAACCACGTGACCAAACCCGGAAATAGAGTAGTATGATTGAAATAAAGCTGTAGTAAAAACGAAAAGCAACGTATTCCTATCTTTACAGTTTGTTTTTTATTTTATTTTAAGAGAGTCATTATGAGTCGGGATTTCGACAGGAAACTACAAACTGCAACAAGAGAAAAGCTCAGGAAACTGGATTCTCTGCGCGGTGAGTTTCATTCCATCTCATTCTTCATTAGTTTCATTTCAGTAAAGGTAACATTTTGTTGTCCTTTAAGGTCGAGAAGCTGAACCAGGTGAGTTCTGGGATGTAGTGGTTGTGAGCGCTGTGGATGAGAGCCAGAGAGAAGCCTACGAGCTGCAGATCAGAGAGAAAGCTGAGAGGAAGGAGCTTCCCCTTGGAGCTCACTACAAGGTCTTCTCAGATCCTCCTGGATGCAAAATAGGTCAGTCAAGCTGTCAGTGGATTTAACTTCACTCTCCTTAATCCTCCTTAATTAATGTTTAAAGTTTTGTTGTTTTGCAGGGAATGGAGGCTCTACTCTGTGTGCTCTGAAGCAGCTGAATGACATCTATGGAAAAACTCTGAGCAACTTGAGAATCCTCCTGATCCATGCAGGTCCATCTGCTCACCTTCCATCTTTATACATTCTTAAATTGGATGTGTTGGTCCTGTTAAAGGAATCTTTTATGCATACGTTGAAACAGGGGTTTACAAATTGCAAAAGAAGGAAAAGGAAAAATATGTTTTTTTCCATGTTCAAATATAAGCATTTTCATTTTTTGATCTGTTCATATTCTCACGCATGTGGACAAGGCTGATGGTGCCAATCCAAGCACAGACACAAGACAAAAAAAAACAAGAAAGAAACAAGAGTTGCCCTTGGTGAAAAGGGATTTATAAATGTAAAAAAGGCAAGTTTCCTGCACTAAAATCACTATATTTATTTAAATATAGTGATTTTAGTGCAGGAAAGTCACTATAGTTTTAAAATAATGTGATTTTCCTGCAGTAAAATCACTATATTTTACTGCAGGAAAGTCAATATATTTTTTTAAATATAGTGATTTTACTTCAGTATTGATCTGAATAATTGCAAGGTAGTGCTTTGACTGCAACATCTTGTTGTTGTAAAGGTGTGGGTGAGAAAGATTTACTCATCACTAATGGCTAATCATATGATTAGCCTTTTGAATGAGGTCCGACTTTCCTTTTTGCCCACACTTGATTCAGACAGCTGCATAGAAGCTGATTTATTTTGCAGAGAGATGAGAATAATTGGCGACATAAAAAAAATCAGTTTAAATTACGACTGTTATGAGTGCATTATTTACATAACAGTAGTATCATCACCATTGTCATATCAGGAAACGTCTCTAATTATTTCCTACACAGTAAAGTTAGCCATTAGGAGCTTAAAAAAAAGCAGAAACTGTTTACAAAATTCAGGGGGGGAAAAAAGGAAAATAAAAAAAATTACAAATTTTGTTGAGAGAGAAAAACAACTACGGTAATGTAAATCCTTTTGTTGTCCCACAATGGGTAAATTTGACCCACCCCGTTGGGGAGCAGTGGGCTGCCATTGTGTGGCGCCCAAGGAGCGGTGTGGGTACTTGCAACCTTTACAGAGCACAAGTGCACTGCTCTAACCACTAGGCCAACACTCCCCAATGACAGAGGATGTTACGTTTTAATGTAGCATTGCAATAAATGAATATGAATTATCACCTGATTCACTTTGTTCAGTTAAACCTTCTTGTCTTTAACATTTCTCTTTAGGTGGCTATAGCCAGCGTCTCCCCAATGCCAGCGCTCTGGGAAAGATCCTCATGCCTTTACCTCTGGGTGACCCCATCTACCAGATGCTGGAGCTCAAACTGGCCATGTATGTGGATTTCCCATCAAACATGAGGCCTGGTGTCTTGGTGACCTGTGCAGACGACATAGAGCTCTACAGTATAGCAGAAGAGGATACAGTTAGGTTTGATAAACCAGGCTTTACAGCTTTAGCCCACCCCTCCCCGCTCTCTGTGGGAACTACCCATGGTGTGTTTGTGTTGGATCTGAATGAAAGATCCTCATTCTCAGAAATGGAGAATGCCTCCTGTCTGTGCTTTCTGCACAAGCCAAGTATTCATAAGATGCGGGACAGCGGAGCTGTGTGTAGGAAGCAGAGTGACCTTTTCTCCATGTCAGACAGTGAGTTCGTCTATACAGACAGCACCTATTACATGGACTTTGACACAGCTAAGTCACTTCTGAACCTTCTGAGTGAGTTGGGTCCTTTGAACTGTGAGATAGATGCATATGGGGACTTTCTTCAAGCTCTGGGGCCTAAAGCCACAATAGAGTACACCAAAAACACAGCTAATGTGACCAAAGAGGAGAGCGGTCTAATTGAAGTCAGACAAAAGATCTTCCATCACCTCAAAGGGACGCCTCTCAATGTCATTCTCCTCAACAGCTCCAAGTTTTACCACATTGGGACCACCTCAGAATACCTCTTCCACCTGACGGAGGACCAGGCGTTCCAGCGTGAGCTGGGCCTCCTGTCTTCTGCCTTCAGTGTAAATGTCAATGAAAACCTCTCTGGTTGCTGCATCATGTTCAGTGTCCTTGATCCCAGTTGCTCTGTGGAGGCTGGGTCGGTGGTGGAGTACTCCAGATTAGAGCGAGGGGTCTCAGTAGGCGGTGGGTCCATAGTCAGCAGCTGCTGGGTCAGTTCAGGCCTCTCTGTGCCAGCTGGAGCTTTCCTGCACACATTATGTGTTCGCCACCAGCGACAAACCAGGTTTGTTACCGTCTTCTTTGGGATTCAGGACAATCTTAAGAAAAGTGTAGCTTCACCTGCATATCTAGAAGAACTCCAGTTTTTTGGGTTTAACCTCACAAAGTGTCTGTCCCATTGGGGGATGGAGAATGAATCCATTAAGTTTTCCGGAGACGCATCAAGCTGCAGTTTGTGGAACGCTTGCCTGTTTCCCGTTTGCCCCGACCAGCAAAGCTCGTTCTCCATGTCTCTTGGGATGCTGCAGGCCATCCTGAACGGCTCCACAAGCCCCCCACCCAGAGACACAGTTCTGATGTCCATGCAGGACTGTTTACAGTGCAAGGACCTGGAGGAAATGCTGAAGCTGAAGAAGGAACTGCATCGTAACATCAAACAGGGGAAACTTGGCATTTAAAGAGCCATGTTTAATATTGAGTTCAATTTAAAAAAGTTTTACATTGCCAGTGAAAGAGAGGAGTTCGACATTTTGTATCTTTCAGTTGTAAAAAAAAAAATGAAAAAAATCTTTCTATAAAACTATTTTAAATGAGTCATGTTTTCCTTCATACTTTTGCATTAGAAGAGAGATTTTACTTATTTATACCATTTTTTTTGTTTTTATTCATCAGATTCTAGAAACCTTTGAATTACCTTTTCACAACTTCCTGTTTGCTTGCTTTACAAAAACGTGTCATTCAAGTAAGGCAGTTCTATCGATGGCTCAGGAAGTGGCTACTGGAGAATAGCTACTCACCTTCTGACCGTATCCAGTGTTGGAATTTAAAACAACTCAAACTGAAAAGATTGGTCGAGGACTTTTATCTAGGGCTGAAATAATCAAATAAGCATGATTAATCGATTATTGAAATAATTGTCAACTAATTCAGTAATCGATTAATCGTTAACTAGAGTATAGAGACTCCAGTACATGCCTGTAGCTGACGAGTGACCCACATGGAGCAGTAAATATACCAAAATTGTAAAACATTATATAAACATTTTGCATTTAAGATGGAAAAACAATATGCTCTATCCAGAACTCCTCAAGTGGAAAAGTTTGAGTTTCACCTGGAACCTTTTGCTATTATTAATCGATTCATCGGAAAAATTATTATCAGATTAGTCAATTTGCATAATAATCATTAGTGGCAGCCCTGCTTCTATCTACTTCTTGCCATCATACAGAATGGGGACAGCCTGCGTTCTTAATATCTCGGAGCTTAGAGGTGGAAGAGCTGAAAGGATGTTACACTTGGAATTGGGAGCGTTCAACTTGCAAGCTGGAAAACAGTTTTCTGTTTATTTGATTTTTATGGGTTTATTTTAAAGGTTTTTGTGCATCTTGAGTGTAGAGCATGACTGGGGGCCATACACCTAAAATCATATATTTTGTGTTGATAATGTGCTAATGGTAAATTTGTTGGATGAAAAAACACATCAGTCTCTTTATTTCTTAAAATTAAAAAAAATGGCTTTCTTTGAACACCAATAAAATAATAAGTGTGATTAATATCACTAAACATCCCTCAGTAACTTGCTTTTAATCATATTTATAGAACTAGTAAATTCCCCCAATAAAAATAAAAAGAATGAGAAATAAAAATTCCTACACTGACCCGTTTTTGGGAAGATTTAAAACTTGAATTCTAATTTATCCTTTAGACAATAGATAAAAATTCTTATAATGCCAAAAAATGTTTCCTGATAATGATAAATGCCCACCCTTAGTGCAGAAGCAGTGGTAATATTATGATTGAAAACACACACCTATTGCTGTAGTTCCCTAACTAATGAAGCCATGAGCTTGACACTCTTTTCCCCTCTGTAATCCACTTGATGGCAAAACAAAAAAAACAAACAAAACAGGATCCTCTCCATTAGATTTAACCATTTACTTAAAAAATATAAGGTTATGAAATATCCATCAAAAATGAAATAATAAAAGAAGATTAGAACAAATGTAAATGAGGTCAAGAAACTGTGTGGCTCCACTCCAATTAGCTGACTAACACAGAATCAGAAGCCAAAGTCCTTAACATCCAGGAACTCGCTGATGAGCAACAAAACAGGTACATTTGCAAAAGAACTCAGTACAATTAGAAATATTAAATATATTTACACTTGCAAACTTTTTACTTTCTGATAAATACTGTAACTTATTAATGATTCCTTTTATCTTAACTTAAACTGAATTAGCTCCTACTATTGCTCTACAATAGGATGCTTCTGCAACATTTGTCAAAGTCTACCTGAAAGACTTTTTTTTTTTTCCTTCTTTCCTGAACTGCTAACCTCCTATGGAAGCCCGTTTCCACCACTCTGAAAAAAACAATTAATGATCTCATTATAATGAGATAGTTACTCAATATTTATATTGAGATACTATCTCATTATATTAAGATACTATTATTATACTATTATCTCATCATGGGATAAATTATTATTTTTATTTTTTTGTGGCGGAAACTGGCTTCCATAGAAATGCCTCATTAGCTATGATTGTAGGCTGGCACAAGAAGAAAAAATAAGACTCTGTTGTTTTGAGTTTGGTTATGATGCTTGGAGAATTACTACCAGATTAATAAAAGATTGGATTTTTATTTTGGCCAGAAAATCACCAAAAGGAAAAGAATTATTGATCATTTTCTAAGTGCAGAAGTTTTAGTTTTACTTGAGTTATATAGTGAAAAAAAACCTTTCTGTCAACTTCTTTTAGCGTATGAATATTAATTGCTTCCTGAACTGCAGTAACTTCTGTAGGTTGATTTTATAATGTGAGGTTTTCAAGAGTAGGAAGTCAAAATTATCAAACCTACATAAAAAAGCTAAGAAATCAATTTGTTGGCTCATGTCAGTCATGTCTCTCTAGCATGCAGTGTGGCGCTGCTGCACCCTGATCCCCTGCTTTGTTAAATTCAGTCTGTAGATAAACAAAGGGAAGGGAGATCAGTTGTCATAGTTGTGAGGCATTCCACTCAGAAGTGTTTTTATTTTTAGCCCAGAGCCATGATCTGTCTTTATCTGATCCCATGCAATTGTGCCAGAGTGTGAGGTTGTGTTCCTCTCTTACTGTAGTTAACATAACCTTAAGGCACATTTAAAAAAAAAAAAAGCTAACGATGGGAAATTACAAATCCAGACCATCTCAGACGTGCACAGGTAAGGAGTTTCTCTGGTGTCATTTTGGGATTATCAACATTTATTATTATTGTTGTTTTTATTTTGCTCACCACACTTCTTATCCAAGACATAGCTGTCATTATTTCTTATGTAAATTTCTAAACAGGTCGCTACATGTATGTAATGCAATGTAATGTTAAATGATGTTTGTGATAAATGTGATATAAAGATGAGTGGAAGAAGAAGGTGGGGGAGTCTTACTCTGTGATCATTGAGAAGTTGGACGACGACTTCCAGCTTCCAGAAAGCGCCCTGGCAGACCTTCACCTCGCTTTCAGGTAACCCACCTTCCCATCCCTTCCATAGAAATAGCCACTGACCCTCTTAGGACATGGAGCACAGCTCAATCTCTGTGGAGTTAGGATTTTCACAAATGTTTGATTTTAATTTGGGATTCCGATGGTCTGTGATTCAGCTCGGATGAGGCTTTTCAGAAGGTGAACGTGAACTACCGAACGGAGAAGGGACTGTCTCTGCTGCATCTCTGCTGCGTGTGTGGAGGTATGCATGACTGCTGGAGTCTATTAATAACGCCTCTGCAAAATGTGGCAGTGGAAGGAAGGATTACTGTGGCACCCACTGACATTATTGTGTGTAGATGACCTTTCTGTTTTCAGACAGGTGGAGAAATCAAAAGTAGAGCAGCATTGATTATATCTGCTTACTCCCTTCCATAAGGTTTTACTGGGTATTTTATAATTAGTTCATGATATCATCCATGTGTGCCCAGGAAATAAGGCTCACATGCGTACCCTGTTGCTCAAAGGCCTGCGTCCTTCTAGACTAACTAGGAATGGTTTCACTGCACTCCACCTGGCTGCTTATAAGGTGGGCCAACTCTTCCTCAAGTATTCGCTGCCCTTATTTTGATCTATCTAGAAACATTTTGAGTTTTACCACATGGTGGAGTGAAAGTGCACAAAAAATGGCATAGTAGCTGCCTCACGGTGAAGAGGTCTTGGTGTGTGTTTGTGCTGCAGGACAACGCAGAGCTGGTGACTGAACTCCTGCATGGTGGATCAGACGTGCAGCAGGTGGGATACGGGGCTCTCACAGCTCTGCACGTTGCAACACTGGCAGGACATCGAGAGGTGAGAGGGGGGGTCACTATCCTACATGCATCCCTTTCCACCTGCTTTTCTGCAACCAGAATGAATCTGCCACGTTGGAACCAGAAAAAGAGACAGACAGACCTTTCTTAGCATTTCTCTAAACTGAATTTCTGTCAAAAAAAAAAAAGGTTAATTAGGGTTTTGGGATATTTAATATAATGTTTTTCAAAAGTATTTATCCTTCTTCAACTTCCAAATATTTGTTAAGATATTAATTTTCAAATTAACCCTAAAAAGAGTATGTGTGTTTGCTTTCAGCTCTCTCAATTCAACACATTATAAAACCGTATTTTACAGCTAAGCTTTTCTGTGTGTCTGTGTCAGATTTTAGAGTTTTTATTTTTGCACAATTCTTGCCCCAGCTTCTCAGTTGGATTTAGGTCTGAACTTCCACAGTTTAGTTTAAAACATTAACATTCCTTTTCTTTCATTTATTTTCTTCCTTCCTCCTCCATAACCTCCGACCATCTTCCCAAGAGTGAGGCAATATTGTATATTGGGCAAGGTTAATGTTTGCTGTCTCCGTCATTTCTGATGAAAACTGTAAATGAAACTTCTTATAGCTCGCTTTAAACAGGGACTTTTTACAGCTGTCCCCCTGCAATATTTTCCAACCTGAGCTGTACATTTCAGCAGCTCATCCAGGGTTCCTACAGGCCTCTTTGCTGCTTCTTTTGCTCATCCAGCCTACCTTATGAAAATCCATATCTTGGAAGTTTAAGGACCTTGTCACACCTTTTCAGTTTTAAGATGCATAATGTTCTGGTAGGTGTTCAAAGCTTGTGATGCTGGTTTGCAGCCTAATATTCTGCTTTAGATTAATCTTTACCATCTCTGCTGGGTTCCTTGGTACTAGTAAAGCTTTTGGACACTAATGTTCAATAAGCACCATCTACTGGTAAATTGTTTACATAGAATTTTATTCAGATTTTAAGAGTAAAGATGACTAAGTGTAAAAAAATTATAACAAGTTTAAATATCATTCCATTGTTAAAATGCAATCTTTAGCTGTACTTTTGATTTAGTGTTTTTTTTTATCTCTTAGAAAACATGGACGACTTATTTTTGAATCCACAATATTAGTCCAATTATAGAGTATCATTGTACCTTTATTTAACTACTTTATTTCCCTTAGAAAGCCTCTCTGATCAACCTATTGCTCCCCGTCTATTGAAACGTTCATTACTTGTTGATTTTAAT